AGTGAACAATTATCCCTAGAACAAATTTACAACGCTGATGAAACTGGTCTTTTCTGGCAATATGTACCGCAAAATAGCTTGGCAACCTCTACAGAAAACGCTATAACTGGTGTCAAAGATTCCAAAGCGAGACTAACAATTTTAGCATGCATGAATGCTGCAGGAATGCACAAGTGCAAACTTTTTGTAATTGGAAAACATGCACGACCTCGAGCATTTAAAGGAATAACGATTTCCCCCGTTATATTCATGCAAATAAAAGAGCATGGATGAATGATTGGTTTGAAAATCATTTTATACCCAAGGCTCAGCGACATTTGAATTCGTTTGGTTTACATGATAACTTAAAAATAGTCCTGATTGTTGACAACTGTTCGGCACATACTTACTTCACTTAAAGTTTTAGTAAAGGATAATGTATCCTATTATTCTTCCCTCCAAATTGTACGTCTATCATTCAACCTACGAATATGGAAATAGTGCATGCGTTGAAATGCGAATATAAACTAGCATTTTTAAAATCTATGTTAAATTTCTTGAACAATGGCAAGACTATTGAAGACTTTTTGAAATTTTTAGCATAAAATCTGCTGTGTGGAGCATTGGAAGATCGTGGGAGGATGTGTCACCAGATACATTAAAAAATGCTTGGCATAATTTATGGCCAGCTACCATATTTCATGGTGAGGACGATGAAGATGATAGCCGCAAATTTGAAGGTTTTCGGACATCACAAACTAAAGGTGAAACTTTCCAGTTATTGGATTTTGTAAAGAAATGTGGAGAAGCGGTAATAAAAGACGATGATATAACAGAAGTTTTTCATTGTGACGACAATGCCTCAATCATCAATCAACGGACAGCGAAATCTGTAATATGGTTCTAGATCCAGAAAATACTGCTTCCAATAGTGAAGAAAGTGACAGAGGTTATTGAAAAAGAAAAAATTTCGATTGATAAGTTAGTCAGTATTCTCGACACAGCAATTACAGGACTTGAACAGTGGAACTTCATAACTGAACAAGAAATTATGTCTCTTTATAGAATTAAAGAGAAAGTATCAGCACAAAAAACGAAGCAACTTAACTTACATTGAAAGAAATTTTTAATAAAGTAAACAAATAAATATTAAGCTTTCTTTTGTAAATTTTGATACCCTTTAGATGATAATTGCTCTTTATTTCATAAATTACGGTTTCATATTTTTAATTGTATTTTCTGTATGCCATCTTACCAGATTTAAATTGATGATCTCTAATCCAGAAAAAACCCTAACCCGGAATCCTCGAAGTCTCGAAGACTTTGTACTGTACGTCCAAAGGCATATCACTTATGAATTTCCTAAAAAAAGTTTCAAGCAAACTGCCTGTACTCCAGGGCAACTGACAAAACCATTGACAGACTGTTTATTGTACTTGAAATTTTTTTTAGGAGCTATTTAGCTCGAACGGCAATGTAAACAATGCATAATGTATTCAATAGTGCTCTCATAATTATATGAAATCATGCACAGTACACAGATTATGTAACCTCCTGTTACCATTCTTTACTATATACGTCTCATACAGTCATTACTTGATGTATTTAGTTTTATTTAACTAACATTCACTGTATTATTTATATATACTGCAATTTGTTTTTCTCTGCTCTGCTCCTCTCATGGATTTGAGGTTCCATTATTCATACTTGTTAATGTACTTAATTTATTAATGTGCTTCCTATGACATTAATACATTCCTTACAGGTTAAGTCAGGAGCTCGACAGCTTTGTGCCCCCAGATTTGATTCACACGAATAATATTTTGGCTATCATATGCTTTTCAGTCATTACTTACTTACTCTCATATTAAAAAAAAATATTAATTCTATCATTAATCATGTTTCTATATTTGCTTATGAAGGTTATTCTGTTGATATGTATTTGCAAATTTTTCAAAATATTCTACATGGGGTAGTGCCTTGAGCACAGGTACCCGGGTGTCGCAAACACTGTTCCACTGAAGGTGAATCAGAAATGATCTAAAATCCAGACTATCAGACAATAATAAAACAAAATAAAAAAAAATCCTCCACAATAATAATAACAAAAAGAAGCAGGTGTGCTATAAATGAGATTTTTCTCCAGCTGATTCCGCATGTCACTTTCAAACACATGCTGGTTAGAGTCACACCAGAACCAACAACAATGCACTGACTGGCACTGGATTGATGTTAGCAAGGATAACACTTTCGGCCCTTGAGTGGTTGCAAGTGGAAAACAGGGCCTGCCTTATGCACTTTGCCGCTCACTGCAATCACTGGTGTTCCTAAATTCTGCTGTCTGAAACTTCCCATATTCTAAAAATTTTGCCATCCCTAAATTTTACTGCCCCTTAATTCTTATGCCTAGTGTGGCCGCACTTGACTGCATTTGCTCTGGGTGTTGCCTGTGAGAGGTTAGCATTTTTTATCTGATCTAATAAACAAAAAAGCAAAGCCCATGTTGCCATGTCTACATTTCAGCTTACCAGATTTAAATTGAGTCGCGAAGGTGGTTAGGGGAGCTGGCTGTGATATTAAAGGGTCCGGGTTTGAATCCGGGAGAAGGCATGGTTGTAACTATTCGTCCCTTCAAAGGAGGCAATGGTGACGCCCATCAGGTGCCTCCACAATAAAATGGCCACTACTTCTGGCCACTTAGGAGTGGCCATTGTTGAATAGGCAAGTGCCCACTATTAGATTAAGATTTAAATTGATGATTTAAAATATGAAACTTTCCAAACCCAGTCAACAAAGTTTCGACAGTTCAGGATCTCGAACTTTGTACTGTACCAATCATGAAAAAAAAAAGTCAGAATGGAGGTAGTACACAGAAGGAATATGGTGTTAGATCTTCTACTGTTTGCAATACCAAAATGCAGAAAGAAAAATGACAAAATTTTATCTGAGTCTATTACTTCTAAAGGTCTCACATATTAAAATATACTCAGCAGATATATATAAAAAAAGAAGAAACTGCCTGACAAGGTGGATAGTTTGTTGTATAAAACTGTGCAAAGAAAACTTGTAACAAGTCCTATGCTAACAGAAGCCAAGCAGTTTAACCTAGAAATGAATTTGCTAACAGATAGCTGCTTTGATTATTTTATTTTCTGCAAATGCTTCAGGGAAACATACCCTTTGTTATTGCAAAATATATAAAGTGCAAAGCATTTTAGGATTTCATTGATTTGTCTGTAATTTATAAAGTTCAATCAAACATCTAGCTACAGAGCTATTTAATTTCCATTACATTGTATCAGCTGTTAAAAATTTATTGTGAAATGTTAACTTTAAAACTTTTCTGCTTTTTGACACATCTACACTGTATCCTACGGCATCTGACTTTGGGAAACATTGCTTCATATTCCGCCAAATACAATGGCCATGATCAAAGTAATAGATCAAGGAGTTATTTAAAACATTACACGCAAATACATGAACTCATTTGTGCTACATTTATTACATTCACTTTAGTTCAAACTTACCAATTCATTTCTGCACAAAAGATGCTATACTCAAAGCTACTATTGCTTGGGAAAACATGAAAACAATGTTACTAAAAGTTTGCCGAAAATTGCAGTCAAAATGCCATGAAGCATAATTCTACTGAAGGAAGTGAAAATATTGATGTTTCTATGACAATCATATTGAGTCATTGAAAACAGTTCTTCCTTTGGATGACCCATTTATCATATTTTCAAAAAATGATATTGAATAATTACTCTAAAAATTATAGATTTAAGTGCTAAAACTAAGTATTCGAAGCATGCCGAATTCATGCACAGCAAAAGTAATGGATGATGCAGAAAATTCAGTGATGGTCACTTGGCATGCACCTGATAAAGCATTTAACATTCGTGAAATTTTCTGAAAAAATTAAAATATAATAATAAACATTCATACTTTATGGAATCACTTTTTAAAAAAAATGATGATGCAGGAGGATGTTTGAACTTTAATTCAAGACTTCATACACTGCCAAGACTACTGTTTTCAATCCAAAAACTGATGAAATATAATTACAAATAAATTTTATGACATGTTTTTCATTCTCTATTTTTAGCATCCTCTAATGCACTTGAAAACACAGAATCCTTTTTTGACACTGAAGAGTTTTAGTTCAATAGCCCCACATAGCTAAGTCTTGGATTACCAAAATTATCAAACTTTTGCTATTCTTTTAAAACTTGATTGTAATTTTATTTAAAACAGTAGGCTTGTTTTTATTTTAAAATCTTCAAATAACATTCTGATCTTAAGATCAATATCATATTTCTACTCTGCATTTTCTACCCATATTTCTACTCTATATTTTTAAAAAACAGCATTCTGACCGCTTAACTTTTTCTATGTACCAGTTTTCTATGCATAGACGAGCAATAAAGATTTAATTTAAAACTTTAAACACGAATAAAAGTGAAAGACTGTCTTTTTTTATTAAAATCAGTACACAAAAAATTACCAAAATCTTGCATAACCAAGGCTTATAATTACACATTTCAATACCTAACAAAATTCAAATACAAGTTAATCAAATCAAAACTTCTAGAACTGGATTATTGTTCATAATACTGAAGATACACATAGCTAAATTCAATTTACAAATTTTAATTTGGAATACCACACAGTCTACAAATGTGCAAACAAGGATAAAACAAAGATATGAATGCAAGGTCTTTGCCATTACAGCGACACAGGGAAAAATGTTCAGACCATTCAAAATAGAACATGATAAAGCCCCTAAAACTCTCCCATTGAAATGCACCAACTGATTTAGCATACACATTATTTACATTAAATTTTTAAATGATGTTTGGTATCAGCACATAACAAAATAATACATCAATATATCATTGCAATTATTGATTTGGATTTTAAATTATAATTTTGAGAACTGAAAGCTTAATTTTAAAGACAAGTATTAAATAACTCTGAATTTAAACAACACAGAGATAACTTCTGGAAAAATTAACACTCACCATTTTTTCTCTTTTAGCTAAATCTACATTATGTATTCCTACAAGCAAGCTGTAATCCATGATTTTGAAACTTTCTAATACCTATGAGATAAAATCAAAATGCACCAAAAGTAAATACAGCAAACAGAAGTGTTATAAAAAATTTGTAAAAAATAAAAAGATTTGCTCACACGACAATCACGTTGTATTGTCTTTATTAAAGCGTTATAAGTATCACTCTCCAATAATATTCCTTCTGCATGGTGTTCCATAAAATCCAGATCTTTAAAAGTAGGTGATGCTTTTTTCCTTTCATGTTTGCTTGCTTTACGTTTATAAGTGGATCCCTTAAGGTCATACTTTTCATGTAAACGTATGAAAGATGGCAGCAAATTGTTCATTACCACAAGTCGTACATTTTTACCTCCACACTAAAGAAAATGAAAAATAATAATGCACATGAATATACCAAATTGAAAACAAATACTGAACATTTATACACACACATACACACACACAAGGTAGGCACAAATTAACTCACCAAATGAAAATTGTTTATAACTTTTTTTAATACTTAAACAATTTTAACAAAACAAAAATGCAATATGTTCCTTACAATATGAAAATTTATTACATGATATATCATTTATGTCAATGCAGATATCAGTGGCAGACTATTGCACGTCTAACCTGGCATGAATGAGCTCAGATTGCATCTCGGTATTAAGTATGGCAGTCCGTGGTACAAGAACAGAGATGCTGACAAAGTGTAAAAAGCTCAGAATGCCTCAGATGATGCAAAGACCATAAGGAATTACCATGTGAAGCTAAAAAATGCAGCTTCTGTAGCAGATATCATGAGAAGCAAACACCCTTCTACATTCAGGATAGAGGAAAATTTGCATGCAGTTCAGGAAATGTTCCTTTGAAATCCTCAGAAAGACATCGCTCGAAAGTGGCTTAATCCATCACATAATGCTAACCATTCTGAAGGAAGAGATGAATTTTTATCCATGAAAACCACATTACTGGCAGGAATTATTGCCGGAAGACTGTGATCAATGCTTGGAGTATGGAGTGACGATGCATGCTTGGTATGAAAACTGGTCTGATCTCTTTAGTAATATCCTTGGATCAGATAAAGATGTGTTCCATGTTCCAAAATTTCACAACAAATGCCGAATAGTATCTTGCTATGCTTGGAGATCATGTTCTTGGTATTGTATCCATGTAGAACAATTATAATAATCTAATCTTTATGCAAGATGAGAACCCTGCCTGACACTGCAAGTGGCTTGATACCCATTTTCCATGATGCTAGTTGGGACGTTGAGGCCCACTGGAATGGCCTGCAAGACCAGACCTAATAGCCTGCGACTAATCTCTTTGGGGAAGTGATGCTAGTTGGGACGTTGAGGGAATGGCCTGCAAGACCAGACCTAATAGCCTGCGACTTCTCTCTTTGGGAAAGTGCACAAAGTTTATTGCATCAAACAAAAACTCTTGATACAATGGAGGAGAAAATTCACCACATTCTTGCAAATGTAAAGCAGTAGCTGCAGAAGTCTTGCAAACATCCCCGAATATTTAGAAAAATTAGGGACAAATGGTGATGCTTAAGCGGAATTTTAGTAATGCATAACAATTCCTACATTGTAAGGAAGAAAATGCTTTTTGTTTTACAAAAAAATAACATGCTCTATTTCAACAGACAAATGTTGGTCAGCACAAAGTTTAGTAACATAAAGTACAGAAATTAAACATCTCGAACAAATATTTATTATTTTGATTACTTTTTTAATATCTAATTGCAGAAAATACATATACTTTTAGATGAACATTCTAGATAACTACTGTTCTGCATACATGTATGTTTGTTTGTTAGTATGCAATACTTGGTGGGCAAGGAGATACGATTTACAATACAAATCAACAGGGTTTGTTGCTAGCTCTAAACAAGTGGTTTACAAACTTTTCAGCTTGTGACAGATTTCTTTATTTTCTCAAGCTTCTCGATTACAATAAATATATTTTTTGTTTCCTTATGGCCATTCCACATGACACTTAAGAAAAAGGGGGTCTAAATCGGTGTTTTCGCAAAAAGAATAATACTGGTGCCTTGGGTGTATCCGGCATCAAAGGGCTTTAAGTTTCAAGAAAAGAGCAGTAATTCACACAAAAACACACTACACTTCCTCCCTTCAAATATTATTATTTTCAATATATTTAGCAAAACAACATTTTGACAAAACAAAAAAATCTCTCATAAATTGTCGAACTTGATGATTTACATCTACTACCAACATATTTTAATGAAAACACTGATAAGCTATAAGTTGCCAGTAAACTCATCCATATCACTGTTTAAATATTAAAATATAGTCAGAGTTGTAACACTATTAAAAATTATGTAGCTGATATGCACATACATAAATGCAGTGTATATAGATATATTTTATTAGAGAATAAATACTGTGTTTACTACCTGCATTGATAATTTATTGCAAATAACAAATTTAACTTTTAAAAATAAAATTATAATTTTTTTCTCTAAATATGAATATTATTACTATGAGGCCCTACAAAAAATTATTTCAAATAAGAGAGAGCAGTGATACAAAAAGGCTTAAGAAATAAGGTCTAAAATGTACTGGATTGCTGACCTAATCCTATATATAAGAAACTCCAACTCAGAAATAACAGAGAGTTCATCAAGTGTCATTCATTCACGATATCCTTGGGGATATAAAGAAAATGGCAACTCGGGCAGTTTGTTGCCAAAAGTTGCTGGCATGAAAATAAAACCGATTACTGTTAAAATTTCACATGTGAGCATAATTTACATTTTTCTTAGCATATAAAATTTATCACTACAAAATTGAGCTTTCTGTTGCTAAAATTCCCAGTACTTTTTTTCAGGTTGCCATCAATGGTAAAAGATACATATTTTTATTCTGAAAGATATACACAGGGGAAGCATTATTGCTTAAATACATATTAAATAGATTGCTTCTAAATAGATTACTTTTGCATGTTATTTTTGATGATGAAGTTGATGTTTGATGCAAGCTAAGCTGCAATCATGGCCAGTTGCATATCTTTTATTGTTGGTATCATATTGTTGATGGATTGGATTATTCAATTATGGCAAAGCAGACGAGGGATATCTGCCTAAAGGGAGGGATGCCTCTGTGGAGGACTTTTTGAGGGAAACTGGCTCATATACATGTTACACATGGGGAAAACCATAAAAACGCCCGTTCAGCCAGCCCGTTCACGGGATTCAAACCTTGGATCGAATTACTAGTGTTCAGCATCTTTACCGCTTTGCCGTTAGTGGGCCATATTGTTGATGGAAAAACAGCTAAATTTGAAGGGGGGAAGTGTGCCTCTTCCGAATAGTTATGTTGAAATTATATAGCAATTTTTAACACCATTAATGGCTGAAGCCCTGTGCCAGTGTCTGCGTCATTAGCACTATCTAAGAACTGAAACAAGATTTGATTCCGAAATGATGAAATTTAGAGTTTATAAGCCTGTTACTACCTCTAGAATAGAATGGAGAAATAACAAATTAAAAAAGTACACTAAGGGGCACTTGTAAATTAAAGTTAGGATTTTTGTTTTACAAATTCTTGATCTTATATATGTAATGAAAGCAAAATGTAAGAACACTGAGATGTAGAAACATAGCAGTGTTGCTTGACACAAAACATAGATCCATACCGAAGAGGAAACTTGGCAGCCAAGGCAGTTTAAATCTTGATTTTATTACAATAAACATGTTGCAGCCACAAACAACTTGGCACAATGTTTGTGCTTATTTCAAAACTATTTACACTTTTGATACTATGGTGATAGGATGAGGGCACAGCAAAATTGCATCCAAGCAGTATCACAGAGAAGCTAAAGTATGCGTTTATCCAATACGGTAATTTGTAAAGAGAAAGGTTTTGGTTTACGTTAAAAAGGTTCCAGTTCTCGGAGTTTAGGTTTCCAATTAACTACATCATCCACGTTATGCAAACTCTTGGCATAGATTAATCTAAAAATGGTGCAGTCCAGAGATGCTGTTATTTTTAGAATAGAGAAAAAGTGAGGAGTTAAGAAGCTGATGAACATATTTTTTTATCTTATATATCTATACACCTAGTGTTAGTATAAAAGTAATTGTGCAATGAAATTTATTCAGTACTAGTGTCCATTTGTTTTTATCTATTTTTTTATTTCAATAAGAGGCAATTTTATATTTTCTTATTGTATATTTTAACTTGGGACCATCTATAATACATGCAGTCTATCACAAAAACTGCATTTGTCAGCATTTCTGAATGCAAAATTTCTATATGGAAGGATTACAGGGAAAAAGAAGACCTCACAATTGTCAATCACAATGCAGTAGAGAATAAGTCAAAGTACTGTCTCCAGAATCTGGCCAGCATTCATACAACTGGAATCTGTTCCAGATGTATTCAGAAATATTGCCATCATTCTAGAATCATAAAAGATCAATACATAGTTATAACAATTACAGGCAATTTATATTACACGACCAAACTAGCAAATTACTTCTACTACAGTTCACAAACAAGGATAACCAGCTGAACTGTGTCTCACTTATTTTTATTTACTCACATTCTTGGTGCATTTTTCTCAGTAATTCGATCTATACTTATTATGTATTTTGTAAAATCTTTGATCTGAGGCATTTATTACATCTGCATGAATTTTCGTTTATTTTGAAAATGATAAATTTGAATTATGAGCTGATAAGTACCCAAAATGTTAAAATAGCTAGACAAGAACCAATGATAAAAGCTGAAGATTTACCCACTGAACATCAGGGCTATTCCATTTTTTGACAATTTGGCAACAGTTGTAAAGTTTTCCAGAAAAAATGCCTGTAATGCAACAAGCAATTTTTTTTACTCAGTAAATATCCTGTTAATTGTGCAAGTTGGCAGATATCCTGCAAAGTTGTACCAATCATTCCTGCAGAATTTGATATCAGGCTTTGAAGAGCAACACTCAATTCTAAGTTTAGACTGAGTCTGGATTACACTGATATACTATTGACAATATCACTCAGTCAATTTAAACTTAGAAAGATTTTGTAACCTACAATATATACCATGTGTTAAGAATTTCAGCTTTTTTCTCTGTTTTTTTGGGCTGTGTTTCTCATACATTATACTTAAAAAAGAAATCACGATTCTCATTTCCTTCTATATTTTCCCTTCTTACCTCAAATCTTGATGAACCCATTGTTTGCAACAAGATTATATGGTATCTGGGAAAGCCTTACTAGTTAAAGAAATACTGTTTACATTCAGAGGAAATTTACCCTGAAAACAGAATGACTTAATAATAAAAATAAAAAAGTCATGAAATTTTCTACAGTTGATTTTGTAAAAGAGAGACAAATATCCTTAGGGGTTATTATTCTATAAAACATACAGATACATTCACTTTCTTTATAACTGATGTAATGATTTATAAAATTTCATCTTCTGTTTACAAAAATAAACTCATTTAAATCTCCAACAAAGAAACAGTGAAGTGACAGAAGGATAAAATTACTAATGCTTGCATTTTCAACATGCAGATATTGGGCATCACTAAAATTAAAACATAGCAGCATCTAAATTAAAACAATCTAAGCCAAAAAAAAATCTAATTTGAAGCACATAATACCCCATTGTAATTCTTCCCCAAGATATACCACCAAGTTACACATTACAGAAAAGAAGATTAAATTATTTACCTCTCTACACCTCCCCAAAAGCAGCACACATTAGGATTTAGAAAATACACTCATGTCCATAAATTAATGATAATTTGGAATCAAGCGGAAATCGAACTCTAAAATAAATATATCACCTGTAAAATCACTGCACACATCTTCAAGAATCATATGCAAATTTCAGGAAGTAATCAGATGACACCGATGGTACGTCACAATGACGAGAGTGTAAGAGAGTGATATATAAGGAATACAGGCAAAGAAGTAGGATTGTTCGCAGGCGCTTTATAAGCATTTCAGTGTAATAACCGAATAGTTATGACACAAAGGACGCATTTGGATGATTTTTTACGTGGTAGAATTATCGGGTCCGTCTGGAATGTGGGCGTATTCAACTGGAAGTATCAGACGAACTTTGAATTGCCCAGAGTGTCATCTCCAGGCTTTGGCAATGATTCCAAGATGATGGTAATGTGAGTAGACGTTACAGCACAGGTCGCCCCAGAGTTACAACGCCAAATGAGGACCGGTATTTGGCAGTTACTGCCAAAGAAACAGGCGGAGCACAGCATCAGACGTGTCTCATCAGCTCTCTTCAGCCACTGGTACGACAATTTTAAGGCAGACCGTGTACAGACGCTTAGGGCAGATTGGTCTATATGCTCGTAGACCTGTCAGATGCGTTCCACTTACTGCAACTCACTGTCGCCTGCGGTTAGCCTGGAGTAGAGAGCATGCATTGTGGACACCGCAACAGTGGGCTTGTGTGATGTTTTTCGATGAGTCCAGGTTTAGCTTGCAGTCTGATTCTCGCCGGACTTTTATATGAAGAGCTCCAGGTACCCGTTACCACCAAGAAAACATCATTGAACGACACCGTTACGGTGGGAGTGCTCGTTTGGGGTGGAATTATTCTGGGTTCCAAAACTGACCTGCATGTTCAAATTGGAACCATGGCAAGCCAAATCTAGCGGAACATCATTCTGGAACAACGTGTACATTTGTTTCAGGACGCCATGGGCGCACAATTTGTGTTTATGGATGACAACGCCCGTCCTCACTGTGCAAACATCGTAAGCGAATGCCTTCAATTGGAGGATATCACCCGTATGGACTGGTTAGTGCTTATTACACTTATTACAGCCAGTGCAATCTCTCAAAATAACAGAATTTTTTATTCACATTTTTTTTTTTTTTTAAATTCTTGCATTAAGTTTGTGAAAATTATTCAAGCATGAAAAAGTCATACTGTAACACTTCGAATAAACAAGTGTGTGTGTGTGTGGGGGGAACAATTAAAAACTTTCCATCAACATTTACATGGTATACTTAATACTGTAGAGATATGACAAACTTTGATAAATCTTGTGCATTAATTTTTTGTTGAAGAGCTTTGATGACAAATTTATTAGTGGTAACTAATTTTACAAAATTTTAACTGTTGCTTTATGTACTCTATAAATAAAGAAATAAGCAAAATTTCTGGGATAATAATGGCAAATAATCAGTAATTTCAATAAATGTTTCAACACAGAAATTTAAACATAAGATTACTTAAAACTAAATAAAAATACATTTTACTATTGCTAGTACACAAACAATCATCAAGTAATACTAACCTGATAGCAGTACAATCCAAAAAATTTTGGCAATAGTGTGCGGGGATTCTGATTTAGATTCTGTCAAGAAAGAAACAATCAATGATGACTTAAACCTTTTTATATGTGAAAACTAGCAAAAAATTTTTAAAACAAGTTTTAACAGTCTTAAAATAATAATTTTATTACACAATCACTATTGTAAATTTACTAAATGATGTTTCATCACAAGTCTTGTACTCAAGGTACATCTTTTGAAATGGTTAAACATGAAATTCTGAATATTGCTTGTGTCTGTGATATGGTATGACATTTTACACATGTTACGTACAAAAACAGCCATACCTTATTAAAACTCACTTTAATCATGATAACTGCCAGCTTTCAGAACATAATCAGTCCTTTGAGTCTTGTTGTATTAAGCTACATTTGGATGAAATCATTTATGAGAAATGGGCAAGAGGCATTTCAAATAGGAACTCCGTCTCAATTTTCCCAGTACTTCAGAATAAGTCACTAGAAAAATACTATGAATATGTCTTACTTATCAGTCTAAAATTACCAGTTACATGATGAAAATGAAGTTTCTCAATCCCACCTAGTAAATTAGTAATTATATTTCCAACTTATATACATGGAAGCCAAAATTTTGAGCCAAAGCTTTAGTAGCACTACTTTTGATCCATTATCACAGATGGCAACACCAGAAGCAACCTGTATTTCCCAGAAATGCATTCTCATAGAATCAGTTTAGAAATTTTACATCTGCAGTATTTTATTCAAAAATCGAAACACCAATTTTAGCGCATTTCAACAAATTGGATAGAAACAGGAAAACTTGAAAATGGATGTGAGGAATATTTGATTTCTATTTGGCATCAGTTATTTACTGAAGACGGTAACCTATATAAACAAAATTTTTTTCAATAAATTTCATTAAAACTACATTTGATCACGTTTCATAAAGACTATATTTATTTGCCGGCCACACGGAAAGTTCACTGCCAGGCTCAACATGTTAATATTTTTTCTTGTAATACAATTAATTAACAATTTTCAAAAGAAACCTAATCAAATTTATAATCTTGAATGCTCTCTTCGATAATTTTCTAAAAAACAGATTTAAAATTTCTTTGTCATGCTTAGATAAATTTTCTTAAATCCAGGACTAATTACATGATAAAACTAAATGTTGATTCTGGCCTAATAACAGTTCTTAGATTTACAAAGGACTCGAAGCTACTTTGTTTCAGACAGTATGCAGAATGTTAATAGACAACTACTCTTAAATTTTGAGAAATGCTGGAAAAATGAAATTTAATATTGCTTATGAATTATATAAAAATATTTCTTTCCTGAAACTATCCAAGAAAGCACAGTGCTTAAAATTGTTCAATAGCATACAGCTGCAAACAAGAGAACATTTCAGACAGGCATACAGAAAATTTCTTTTATGCTTTTATACACACTTCTGACACAATATCAAAAAAGTTAACATATGTACACTAAATTCAAAAGTTTGAATGTTTAAAATTACGTGACACACAATGAAAATATAAATTTAGAACAAAAAAGTTCCCCCTCCCTGTACTATGATTCAAAAATACAGAAACAGAAATGGAAATAATGTAGAAAATTTTGGATCATACCATGTAATAACCTGGAAGAAGCTTTTGCAAAAATTCAGCCTCTTTATGCTGTACAGTCTTAATGATAAATTCATCATCATCAGTTAGATAAAATATGCTACCAGACGCTCCAGGATTAGTTAGTTCTCTCATAGGATAATTGCATAGTGAAAGCTGAAAAAAAAAAAAAAATGTGCCAAAAATTATAGTGAGACTTTCATATTGAAAGCATGCAACAAATCCAGAGCATAAATAATATTTTGCACAACATATACTGACAAACCAAAACATTATGTCCATCCCCACATTTTTCAATGAACTCATCTGGATGATAAAAAAGGCATTAAGTGGGAATGGTATTTTACTGCTGCTGAAGAAAGTAAGTAATTATTCTTACACTTAACTTTTGTGAGTGACGGGAAAGATTGCTGATCTAAAAGAATCTGATAGAGGGCAGACTGTAATGCCTGAAGACAGAATGAATATCTGCAAAACTGGTAGGTTGTTCATGATCTCCCAATGCTGGTAATTATGCAAATTGGATAAATGATGATGAAACCACCAGTAACATGCCAAGGTATTGCACATCCATGCATCATGAAAGAAAAAGGACATCGGAGACTGTGCTGCTTGGTTCCGCAAAATGGGTGCCTAAGTGACTCAGCTGACAGTCCAATATAATGCAGAAACAAGGGCAAGTGTTTCTAAACACACAGTTCAGCAGACACTGCTTGATATAGGACTGTGCAGCAGATCTTCCACTTGTGTGCATCTGCTGACTCAGCCTCGTCAACCACACCTACAGTGGGCCCGGGAACGATGAGAGTGGACCATGGATAAACAGAAGACGGTTGGATGAATCAAGATTTCTTATTCATCACATCAATGGTTGTGTCACTGTACACTGCCATCCAAGCAAACAGTTCCTCACTCCTGTACAGCAGGCCATACACAGGCTGGTGGTGACAGTATTATGCTTTGAAAGACACTTTCATGAATAGCTCTGGGACCATTAGTTGTAGTAGAACAAAGCATGAAAGCTATGGACTATCTGAACATAACTGTGGATCATTTGCACCCTTTCATGGCATCTGTCTTTGCAATTGGAAATGGAATCTTCCAGCATGACAATACTCAGTGTTACAAGGCTCGAACTGTGTTGGAGAGGTTCGAGGAGCAAAGAATGAATTTAAATTAATGCCACGGTCACCTAACTTAACAGATCTTAACCAGATACAGCACATTTTGGATGTCATGGAGCTACAGCTCAGAGCTCAAAGAGGACCATGCCAGAGTATCTTGACTTTGCATGACCACTGCTAAACATTTGGTACAACCTGTCTCCAGTCATCTACTAAGAACTTGTGGCATCTATGCCAAGACGAGTTGCAGATGTTTTGCAGGCCAAAGGTTGCGCAACATGCTATTGAGCAGACGGTCATAATGTTTTGGCTCTTCAGTTTAAAACTACTTTAATGGTTAACAGCAGGTCATAAGCATCTCCCCCCACAAAAAGATAATTATTTTAGATTATTACAATGAAAGTGTAAGATTTTTAATAACCAGTTATCACAAATGTAATTGAATAAAAATTTTTATTAGACATTAAGCTTGAAACAATATACAGTGTTAGTCGGAATGTAAAATGTTTTCTCTAACTTTCAAATGAATTGTACCTCAAATCTGACATATATTGCAAAACACCAATCAGCTGAGGTCTTCGTTAATTAAACCAGCAATTAATATAAAGAAATTAATGAAAATAAGCAGTAACATTAGAAAGAGTACAATGAAAATGAGTAACATTGGTGAATTTTCTCACCAGCGATTGTGACAATCGTTTGGCATTTATTATTCCTTTAATGGCTTTACTATTGCGTATCACAATAAAAGATGTGTTTTAATGCAAGTTAAATATGAAATTAACTAAAATTAAAATCAGACACTAACTGAGTATGAACTCATTGGCTCAAAGTCAAAAAAAAAAAAAAAAAAAAAAAAAAAAAGGGGGGGGGGATGTGAAGACAGCACTCAAGATATCATTTCAGAATGTCTAAATGTAGAAAGCAGCAAACCAAGTTTTCAAGTTGTTGAAATACTTGCATTCTCCCTCGCATCTGTGCAGTATTGAAAAGGGAGATAAATTCAAATATATACAAATCCTAATAGCAACCAGATGTATTGTCGTGGCTATCTTTGTGGTTATTGTTCTGGCTATCATTGCAGTTTTGGTTGTAGCAGTAGCTTTTGCCTTTGTGAAGAAGTGTTTCAAGGTGTGGAATGCTGATGTGGACACAGCTATCAAGGATACATACGGCACTAGAAATTTTTGCAAGAAAATCAGGAGAAACTGAGGTCATGCTACACGGTGACATTAAAAAAACCTCCAAACTGACTTTAATTCACTTTACAATATATGGTTCAAGTTATTGAACTATATAAAATTGAATTCCTGCATAAAATATTGCTGTGTGTGTACAGGTTTGCAATGGATTAAATGCACATAGAACGGATATTAGCTTGATAAAATTTATTTTCCCAAAAGAAACACTCTACACTTCTGGAATTATCCACAGAAGCACTCGTACAGCTCTTCCCAATATTACAGAGCATTATCATTATATACATTTCAAACTACTATGAACGTTAGACACAATGCAAAGCGTATCTAAAAGGCAAAGCTCTCTTGGATATCTCAGTATGCCAAAGACAGCTCTGAATTAATAACTGATAGCTGCTCCAGATCCAAATGGCCCTACACTGGCTGCTCAGAAATTTCTAGTCCACTTGAAACCACTGGAAGGCACACATGCATGAAGTGATGTATAACTGTCGAACATACCCACAGCCACACAAAGGGACCAATCACAGCTACTCAACCACACTCACACAGGGATCGGACCAAAACGTCTTCAAACAGTTGCCAAGTCTGATGTCCCCTGCCAAATTTGGCGAACAGTCTGAAAAAACCATTCCCAACACTGTGACCCTGTCAACTCATCGAAATAGCCACCCCCACAATTCCACACCTCCAGCAAAGCTCCACTCTCCCCAGACCCCATGTCACATTATACAAGATACGTAATTTGCATATATACAAAATTTATAACACTGCTGCCTTCCAACAGATTACAGTACGATCCCTGCACAGGAAGCCACATAACTAAGGGAAATGAATGCAATATTAAAATTTAAACAAATAACATACAACAAATCAAATACTGAATCCATAATTAAATGCATGAATTTACTAATTTGTAGACAAACAGATCATGGTCTTACATTATGGCCATAATAAGGGGCTAGCCTGCTGTAATGAACAATTTTAGGCTTAGAATTTGATATTACATGGATCCAAATTACGATGTTCAGCCAGTTTAAAACTGTGTAAGGACTATCCCAGGGAGACTGTAGTTTAGAAGAAAGTCCTTTCTGTCGAACTCATCTGCTCCGTTGCCATGTTAAGTTGATCTTGCACAAAATTGTGTATCCCTTCAAATCGTGCCTAGAGATCTTGAATGTACTCCTCACGCCATGAAGGTGTATCCGGAGGACAACCAAACAACAGATCACAAGGCAGACACAGGTACTGACAGAAGAGCATCTGGTATGGGGAATAACAGGTAGTCTCATGGACAGCACTGAAACAGGCCAGTGAATACAGAGATAACTTCTAGTCTCAGTCTGGTTTCTGCTGGAAACCATCAGTGAGATGTTATGGATTCATGTATAGTGAGATGTTCAGGATGGTTTGATTTAACTGCTCTACCATGCCGTCTGACTGTGGATGCAATGATGTCATTTGGATTTTGTCTATGCCAAGTAATTTACAGAGTTCTTTAATTACAGCCAAGATGAAATTCCTTCCTTGATTGGACCTCTCGAATACATGCTGAGGGGGCTAACCATTATACCACGAATGCATGCAGAAAGGAGGAAGAAAATACGTTATATACTCAACCTTTTAAAGGGGACCCAGTCGACAAATCCTGATGGTGAGGAATTATTGTCCAACACCTTTAAGTTCAGGCACCACTGTAAAGTCATTAGGTTACTTTGAAGCGGGAGACTTGAAAAATAAGCAATGTCCTAACTGGGACTCAAATCTGGACCTCTCGAATATGCACCAAGTGTGCTACCGTTACACCACAAAGGCATACTCGAAGGAGGGAGAAAATACCTTATATACACTCCCCCCTTTTAAAGCGTGGCTAGAGATTAGGAGATTCAATGGCCAAACCCTGGTGATAACAAATTATTGTCTCCCACTTTTTATTTTGGGTGCCATTTTTGAAGATTCATTAGGTTATTTCAATGTTGGTGGGTGAAAAATGAAAAATGCTTTGCCCTGGACCTCTTGAATATGCATTGAGTATGCTTCAAATTATGAGGTGCGACCGACACACACACACAAAAAAATGAGACTGTGTAGCTTGAAAAAAGTGAAGTTGGGAACAATTGTTTAGGTGATGTCATCCCACACACCTTCTCTTCCCATATGGTCAGTTTCGACTTAATCGATCACACCAGCTGGGAGTACTGCATCTTTGAGTGAACAAGTACAACTGCATTCTGCTGGAAAAATGTCTAACGCAAAATCCGAACAGTGAATTAAGATAAAGTTTCTTGTGAAACTTAAGAAATCAGCCACAGAAAAAATTTCAAATAATCACTGAAGCTTATGGATATGAAACTTTGTCTCATGCACGAGTGTTTGAATAGCATAAGTGGTTTTCAGGGGGGGGCAAAGTGGAAGATGATGAATGAGCTGGGTGTCTAAAGGTCAGTGATTAACTGACCAAAACATTGCCAAAGTTCATGATGTGATCCAGGTGAACAAAGATGAAGCGTTTGTGCAGTGGCGGAGTCGGTTAACTTGGATAGGGAACCTGTTCAATGCATTTTAACTGACGAATTTCACAAGAGGAAGATTAGTGCAAAGGCTGTTCCAGAAGTTCTGTTCGATGACCAAGAACAGTACCGTAAAAACGCCTGTGTGGACATGTAAGAATGCATTGCGAATGAGCCAAATTTCTTGGAATATGTTGTAACATGTGATGAGACATGGATTTTTACCTATGACCCAAAAAGTAAGGGCCAGTTGATGCAGTGGAAGTCTCCAGGAGCCCCCCCCCCAAGACCCAAAAAAGAACGCATGTCAGAATCAAAATTCAAGACAATGTTAATTGTCTTCTTCGACATTAAAGGAATTGTAATGACTGAGTGGATTTCCAGTGGTCAGACTCTTAATTAACACTACTATCGGGTTGTCCGGAAAATAATGCAGGCTTTTGCAATTTTTTACCTTTCTTGTACATTTTTAGCAACAAAAATATTTTGAATTACATTGGTTTATACATTATTTTGAAGCTCTATTTTCACTCTATAATAATCATTTTGTTCTAATATTATTTTTAAAAATATTTTCTAGGTGTTTTTGTTTAGATGTCAAAAAGGGATTTTTAGCAAATTTACTTTTATGAGTACAAGCTAGGCCACAGCGCAGCACAAACGGCTCGAAATATCAACGAAGTACGGGGCAAAAAAGTGTTAATCAATCTACAGTTCAACAGTGGTACCAAAAGTTTCACCGTGGAGAATTTGAACCCATGCACTACTGTTTGAGAGCTTGCGGAGGAGCTTGGCGTAAGCAAAACAACAATTTCTGATCACTTGAATCATATAGGAAAGTTAAAGCTCGATAAGTGGATGCCTCACGAACTGAGCGAAAATAAAAAAATCACTGTTTTGAAGTGTCGTCTACTCTTCTCCACAACAGAAACGACCCTTTTCTTGATTGAATGAATCATTATGTGCAATGAAAAGTAGATTCTCTATAACAATAGGCGGAATTCGGCTTAGTGGTTGGACCACAGTCAGCAACCACAACACCGTCCAAAGCCAAATTTGCACCAAAAGAAAATTGTGGTGACTGTTTAGAAGTTAGCGGCCAGTCTCATCTACCACAGATTCCTAAATCTGGGTGAAACGATTACAGCAGATAAGTACTGTTATCAATGAAATGCAACAAAAATTGCAATGCATGTGCCCGGCATTGGCCAAAAGAAAGGGGCCATTTCTTTTTTACGACAAAATGCTCTGCCACACGTCATGCAACTTGACCCTACAGAAATTGAACAAATTGGGATATTAGACTCTCCCCCTTCCCCCACATTCGCCTGACCTCTCGCCGACCGATTACCACTTTTTCAAACATCTGAAAAACACTCTGCAGAAGAAGTGTTTCAGAAACCAAGACGAGGCCAAAAACATCTTTAACAACTTTATCGTGTCCAGAACTCCAGAATTTTATTCTACCGGCATAAATAAACTTGTATTTCGCTGGCAAAAATGCATTGATTCAGCTGGTGCTTATTTTTATTACAACAACATTGTTTTTTGAGTTGAGTTTTGCTTTAAAGATATAGGTTAAAAACCTGCATTATTTTCCGGACAATCTAACACATTGAAGTACTAAAGAGATTTCATGAAAAAATTAGGAAAAAAGGCCACACGTGTGGAGTGATGGATGGTTGCTGCACCAGGATAATGCATCTGCTCACATGGCCCTATCTGTCAAACAGTTCTGACCAGCAAAAACATTACTGTGATCGGGCATTCTCCTTATTCACCTGATTTGACTCAATGCGACTTTTTTTTTATTTCTTTAAGTTAAATCTTACTTAAAGCGAACCCATTTTACCTCAGTTGAAGATGTTCAGGCAAAAACGAAGAATCTTCTGAAGGGTCTTCCAAAAAACCTTGCCCCAGAACTATTACCAGCAACGGCAGCACCAAATGCAGAAGTGTGTGAATGCCGAAGGAGACTATTTTGAAGGTTATGTTACGGGGAACTGATTCTGTAAGTACAATGATTAATTGGACCAGTCTATATATATATATATATATTTGTTGCACCTTGTACACTATGAAGGAGGGAAGGGAAAAAAGGGAGAAAATACCTCATAACTACTTAAATTATACTTCTCAATTTTTACAAAATTGATACACCTTAAAATACCAGAACAAGAATATCTGTCATTTAAAACATTCTTGTAAATAGAAGCATATGTCTATGACTAAAGGTTAAAAAAAAAGGCAGTATAAAGTATATAAGGTATTCTGTGGATATGGTGTATATATCACAAAGAATAATTACCATCCTGAATTTATACAGAGAAACTAATTCACCCACAAAAGGGTGTAAAGAATAACTTCATGGATGAGAATATATAAATGTTATATTAACTCGCCAATGGTCAAGTGAATAAGAATACCTTAGTTTAACCCAATTTGACTCCAGTAATCAGACTGGCTGCATGGATACTTGGCTTTCCCCACGTGTAATGTAAACGAAGATGTTTGTTTGAATGAGACAAAGTGAAAGACGACTATCAGCCTAAATGGAGGAATGCCTTAATGGAAGACTTTGTGAAAGAAACTGATCAGGCACCACTTGAACATACACATTAACAAATGTATATGAAGAACATGAAAAAATCAGAGCTTCAAAATCATTGCTAAATGAAGTTTATACGAGAAATTACATCCCAATGAGATGGTAAAATAAACGAGAAATGATTCAATGCTGTTTCTAAAAACATTGTTTTGCTGTTACAGCAAAAATAGAAATGCAATTCAGCTATTTACAGTACTTTATTTAAGATAAAATATTTTTAACCCTTATTAGTCGGATAATTTTCAATAAAATAGTAAAAAAGTGCTTATTTTTTTATTCAAGAAAATTGTTTGAAAATAAATATACGAACAATATATGTATTCATTTTTAATTTTTTGAATTTTTTTAGCTTGAAATCAAGAAAATATGTAAAATAAGAAATAATTTTTTTTTCCAGGTACAAAAAATGGATTATTCTTTTTGGAGCATTTTAAACATTCCAGCCCAGAAAAATTACAGGCACAAGAAATAGAGAAAGAAACCGAGACCTTTTTTTTTTTACATGAGATAAAAGGAAAGGGGAAATTTGACATTTTTATAAAATTTACATAATTATAAAAACCAATTTTTATTTACGTTCTCAAATATATTAACCATTTTCAGAGAATAACCATGATAGCAAATGATGGCAACTAAGAGACTTCACCATACTTGCAGACACTTCAGCAGCATAGGATGTGTATGTTTATATTAGATACAACAGCATATGACAATCAAAATATTATTCATCAAAAGAATTGTAATTTTCAAAAAAATTCTCATAGACAATAAATATTTTATCCAGGGGCATTTGATTTTATCTGTAGAATAAATGTGAAAGGTAAAAATCAGAGTAAAAAATTCCAGTACAATTAATTACTATTGATAAACAAAGACTAGAAATCAGAGTACAATTTCAGTATAATTTCTATTGATAAACAAAGAATAAAAATGTTATGAAAGTTTTGGTGAAAAGCCTAACAAACAATGTTACCTGTACTATTGATAAACAAAGAATAAAAATGTTACCAAAGTTTTGATGAAAAGCCTAACAAACAATGTAACCTGAACAGCATAGAATTAGCAAGACATCTTAAATATGTATCAACATCCTAACTAAAATTTGTCACCTCAGGGCACCTCAAAGTCAGCTTCCTTTCTGGTTTAGCCCAGTCATAAAACATCATTGTTTCCACACAACACTAATTCTCCCCACTTCATCAAGCGAGACTACAATGCAAGTCATCCTTTATTTGTGTGCTCTAGCCAATGTCCAGTTTTGGATGACAATCATGCTCAAAATGACTACAGCGTCTGGATCAGATACTAGACATTCTAAACTGAATGATTTCAAAGAACCATTTATCAGCAACAAACGATACTTTATATCACCCATGTCACAAATCTCCTTACAACAGGTGACTGCAAAACTGGTAACTCTACACCCTTTCTCACCATTCCTTTCAATCTCAGCTGCCATCTTCTACTCTATGTAGTCGCTTAAAAATATTGCTATACAATGAAAGTAACAGTATTTTAGATTGTTCTTTAATCAGTTAATGATGATGTGTTGAAATTTTCATTACTGTTGCATTAATTCATATTTCTACATATACAGCTTTAATTTAATGGGAAATCAAAACAGTAACAGACTACAGCTTCAAAACTAAACTTGTAATAAATATACTTTCAATTTTTAATTTCGATTAAAAACTAACATAAAAACAAAATACATACTAAAAAATCGTCGGGTTGGATACCAAACAAATCCCGAAAATAACGAAATGCCACAGGTGCATATGCTTTGAACTTAAAATCACTATAATGATGAGCTGGTGTGATATTACTTCCATCTCGAGGAAATGATGTAGTTTCTACTATAGTAAAGTCTTGCATTAGAAGATCTCTCTCTGGTTTAGATGCTAAGCTACCAACAGCATGCCCAATGCCCAACTGAATAGAGCCCATAATTTGAGATGTTTGAATCTATAAGAAAAATCAATACATATGCAATCAAAATTAATACACAGTCTGAAAAATAATTTGGCAACATACTTAACATGTTAGAAAACTCATTCAATTATACCCTATTTCCACATGTTTTCTAACTCTCTTAAATATGTATGATGTTTCGCACAATTTATGTTCCAGCTACATAAGAATAAAACCAAATTCAATTAATTTCTCAGTGTGAAAGTTCACTTAATGTACAGTCTTCATTAAATCACGAGCACCATCATAATAGTTGTCGGGGCACTTTAAGGATGGAAGAAGGCCTGGATGCATTCTTGCACAGATTAAAGTAGGTGCTAATTCTAGGGGACCTCACCCCATATATCCCAGATGGCAGTCAATAATGACGTTAGATGTTGGTGTAGGATTAACAACCTAGATGGCCCAATCTACATTAGAAGTGCTTTACTGTTCACTGCAACACAAGGTGCTCTCTATAAGTAAGTTGCAAGACAATTTTTTGTGGCTCACAAAACGTTTTAAAGTTTTTTATTAGAAAGTATTTATTTATAATTACTAATTAAAAACCAGACTATAATTGATACTTGTACATATTTCATTATTTCCTCTCAAGACTCTCTCTTCTTTGATGTATGTAGGCTACAAGGCTGAAATTTTTGGTAAGAACTGCTCTGTGAGGACTACAAGAGTTAAAAGAAGGCAATTCATAATGATGCATCTCTGTGAATGTTCTTCCAGCCAATCAAGTAGAATACCGCTTCACTGGCATCACATACTGTCATCTTGGAATATGCAACAGCAATTTAGATACACATGTCATATCAAAGGGTGTAATATCTGCACTCAGATTTTATGCTTTTTACTTGAAACTTGGACCACAATATAGTAGTTTGCCCCGTGTTGTACATATGTGGTGCACGGGGAGTCTATGTTCTCAAAGGGGAAAAAAAAAAATATAGTAGTTACTCCGATTTTGCCCTTGCACATGTTCGTGGCCATCGGTTGCAGATCTTTACCACAATAAAATGGTCACATCCCACTAGTTTTATAACCAACAGAGGTTTTTAATGTTTGAGCAATCACGACTTTTTGAAAAGGCATTAAGATACAGAATGGATATGCAGCCATATATTTATCCTATAAGTACTATGATAATTTCATCTGTGGAAGTTATCAACAGCCTCCTGAAAAAGTAGTTGCAATTAAGTAAATATTCAGTGTGTATGCATATAGTAGATGATATAAAGTATAAGATCTTTACAGTGTAGCACACACAATTTATCGATTAAATTGACCAAATTTTTCTGAAGCTAATGTGGGACAAAACAAGTGTGCTTTGTAAAAAACAATCAACTCTGAAATGTAACATTATCTCAAATAATTTACACCTTTAGGTTTTTCTCAGTTTCTCATGTTGAACAATCACAACTGACCACCATGGTTTCAAATGATTTTTGCCTTCACAGAATATGAATAGTAATGAAGTAGATTATAAATGTTTGTCTGTATTCTCAGAAATACTGTCTATTCTTAAAGGTGATCACCGTAAGATTTCAGTGCACATATTATCTAAATTTTGAATTTTAAGTTTCCTGCCATCGCAAATATCGTCTGCCCAAGCAGTTCATGATGATGTGTTTAATTATATTTTATCAACCAATTTTTGGTTTTTGAAAGAAAGAGACATGCTTTAGAAGACTGTGTTATGAAACCTGTACAAAAAATTTCATTATCATTAAGTACCAGGTGTCTAAAATGGAACAATCTTGCTAACAGATTAGAATCATAATCGTAGTTCTATTGTAAAAAGTCAGCTGCAGTGTGTCACCAAATCTTGTGTATAGCTTTAGGTACTAATGTTGTATCATACGGCACTGTGAAAGTTTGGTACAAGTTTTGGTACCAGTTCAAAATAACTACTATGACATTGAAGAAGCAGAGTGCTCTGGCTGGCCTACTGATGTTGATGGGGCCGCCTGCGAGAACTTGCGGAAGAAAATCAGTATGCAGCCACTCGAGAGCTTGCTAAGGAGTTAGACATTAGTGACATTCATTAGTTGCGCTATGCATCACATAAAGTTGATGTACAAGTTCAATCACTGGGTGCTTCACGAGTTGACTTAAGCAGATAAGGACAGATGTGTTCGGGCCTGCACTAATCTGCATCAATATTTTTAGCCACTCAAATTGAACTATGTGTTTGAAAATTGCTAATTTGCATCATATGCTGAACCTTTGAAAGCCAGTGTGGATTCTGGTTTGCTGCATCAGTTCCCAGTAAATGGAGTTTAATTAATTATGTTAGAGATTAAAAAACAAACATAAATATTCTGATTACAGAAAAGTTCTCCCTCCATTTTACACAAGTCTAAATTTATACTCAAACAAATATGTAATTTTTTTTGGGTATTTCTAATTTTTTAAGCATAATATCTTTCACTGAAAATATTTTTACCAGATAAATATTCCTTCTCAAATTATTTTTTTTTCGAATTTAAGCTATCTTTCATGTTTATATTCTGCAGATTTTCAAAACGTGATAGTTAACTTCGCTGTCTATTTGCCAAGTAAGAAATGGAGATGGTGCAGAAATCAAGAAATTATTTCATAAACTCATTTTTTTAAAGACATGTTCACTTCCTTAAAACACACACATAGAAAGCACGATTATTTGACTATCGAATATATCTGATCATACAAAAACATCTCAACGATTCTATGGAATGACTAAGAAAATTCCTATAAACTATACAAAACCTAAAAGTATTTACACAATATGAATTTTCCAGAAGGTAAAACTAAAAAGGAATTGTACTATGCAATATCAGATACCTGGCCGTTTTGTGTTAGAATAATCATTAAAAGCGCATTTCAGATCATCTGAATTGGGATACAATTAAAAACTTATAAATACAGATGAAAATACCACATTGTGATGATGATAATACTGCATTAAAAATATTTTTATTAAATAACATTACAGTAAAAACTTTAAGCAAGATGACCAACTACACATCATATAATTTACTACAAAATTTTTAATTTATATGAAAAATGAAAAAACAGCTCACTTTTTTAAATGTAATTTGGCCTTCCTCATCAACTCTCCTGTGTCCTATTTTTCTTTCTTTTACTTTTCTACGGTCAAGCATCTGGCCTGGAGTCACAGGAGGTGCACTAGTTGGAGTCTTTGGCCCAGCCATAGCTTGTTGTTGCAGTTCTTGTGCAGCAGAAACCTGATAGAAAGCAAAATTGTTACTATAAACAATGATAAAAAAAATTACTTTTAAATAAATTGAACTACGTAATTTTTTGCATTAATTTTTAAAAATCTCCATAAAAGTTCTACTTGTAAGGCAAATTTCTAAAATTTTAAATGAAGTACATCATCGTCATGCAGAATAACATTAAACACATTTCAGTACAAACAAATTCTGGTTAAACCAGTTGTTTTCGAATGGTAACACCTACCTTTTCCCTGAATAAATTGGTCATTGCACTGGGAAAACCATAAATGGCATTGGCACGATACACATATCATGAAAGCTGCTGGCATAAAACATTTGCAAAGAAGAACATCGTCAAAGACAATAACACAAGAGAGCGGGGGGGGGGGGGACATTTATTGGAGTTACAAGCTTTCAGTAATCCACCTTCGCATTGCATGCAGAGATTATTAACAATGACGACAATAAATATAAGATCGCAGGAGGAATCTGTAGGACTTCACATTTTATGGCATCTTTCAATTCAGATATGTCTCATGGATTTGATGTGCACAATGTAGATCGAAAATAAACCAGGAATCAGAAATCCATTGAGGTGAGGTCAGAGATCATAGTGGCCACAAAACTACAAAGTTACAGGAGATGTCGCTTGAAAGTTACGAGGAGCAGCATGACAACTTTGCAAATTTTTTCCTTATCGGATATGATGAAGATAGCAGGTGGCTGCTGCAGATATTATGGAACGACAACACACATTTCTTCTTAACTGGGAATGTAAACTCCAGGAACAACTTTACTCAGCCGACCAAAATCCTCATGATGCAGCATCAGTGCTTTTATATGAATCTAAAGCGGTTGCGTAGTGTGCCACTGAAAGTACAATCCTTCTCGGTCCATATTTCTTTGAAGTCACTTCCACAGCGAAAAGTCAATGACATAGCAATGGATGCATTATGGTGCTCCTCCATACGTTGGCACATGTGGTTGGCAAGTGCTGTAACAGCACTTTGAAGATAGAGTCATCTCGCATTACTTTGCAGTTTTGTGGCCACTGTGATCCCGACTTCTCTCCAACGGACTTCTGGTTCTGAAGTAACCTTAAATCTAAGGTGAATATATGAAAACTAGGAGATTTGTCAGAATTGAAAGATGCCGTAAAATGTGATGTTATACAGATTCCTCTTACAATGATAAGTTCATCATTGTTGGCAACTATCTCCCACATGTAATGCATTATTGTCTGTGAAGGTGGACGTGCTGAAAACTTGCAAATCAATTAAAAAAATTTTGGCCTCTCTTTTATGCTGTCAGTGGTCCTTTATAATGCTTTTCTCTATAGATGTTTTATGCTGACATTTTTCGTCATATGTGCATTGTTTCAATGCCATTTATGGTTTTTCAATGCGCTGATCAATTTGCAAATGAAAAAAAAGGTGGGTGTTGTCCTTCGAAAATTCTCACTGCAACCATAACTGTGAGAGCTCTATTATTTTAAATTATCACAATCTCAAGTGCATATCTTCAAATAACAATATCTGAAATTTCATTTCGATTGGTTGAGCAGATAGGCCATTAGGGGCTCAAATATCGGGGAAATTTTTTCTCACCACCCTGTATAATATACATCATAATGAAATTGTAAATAAATGCACATACATACACAGCTAAGAATTAAATTAAGAATATGAAAATATATTTTGAAAAAATATGCTTTTAGATTTACTTTTAATTATTTTTGTACAATTTTTTCGATTTTACAAATATAGACGTGTTTTCAGAAACAAAATCAGATTCTAACTGCACAAAAGTTTGATTTTAATAACCATATATTCTGGCATATGACATGCATTTTTAATACATAGAATAAGAACGAGTTCTATGGGTGTACATAATATGTCAAATATAAAAATGATAAATTTAAAAATAAGGAAAAGATGAGCACAAAAAAATTAGATTTCTCTGCGTACCTAAATGCTGTTTAATTAAATGACCTGACGTAATTATATATATATTATCACAAATGGCTTTATAGGAAAAATCAATTCAAACATGTAAAACAGCTTAAGTATCACACATGAACAATGATAAATAATAAAAAAGAACAAATATTTATAAAGTAAGAATCAGAATAAATGAACATGGGAACAAAAATAAAAAGTTAAACAAGAAAAGGAACATAAGAGATGTAGTTTTTACAAGGAGTTCATGAAAGCTCTATCATTCCAATATAGTTTACTTATTTCATTACATTTCCGAGACTCTTTTTATCTATTCTGGCCATTTCAGAAGATGCCCGAATTGCAAATGTGGCATATACTAGATGGAAGGATGCCAATTTTATTAAGATGATGTGCTATGCGATCGTGACCTGTTTGCAGTCTGAAGTTTGCCACCGCCTCTTTATGGAGTTTTTGACAAAACTTTTTCCATGCATCTTGAATGTTAGCCCAGGATTTGCCTGTTGCTTTTGCTGTCTGGTCAGATTTAAGAGTATCCATTAATTTCTCAAAAATATGCTTTTTAACCCCTTCGAGCCGGGTAGCGAAAACATGCGCTTATCGCGGAGGCCAGCAGCGTCTTCCGCGAGCGTCTCTCCAGGGCTGGGGGCTTTTTTGCTAGTAAGCCTAAATCCATGAAATTTCCAAAGTATCAACGCATTGTTTAATAATGCTCTATAGAGTATTTAAACGGCTTATGCTTTATAAATATTTTTATATATATATACTTTAATTACCTTATTTCTGTTTAAATGCATTTACACATTTTATTTTAATTACTCACCATTTTATGACTTTTAACATTATACATCTGAAAACTAAATATATTACTTAAAATTCTCTTTTCGAATGAAAAATTTGAAAATAGGGATCTACACACAGTCCTACGTTACATTCCTTGAACTCGTAATAACTCATTTGCCGTTTTGGAGGATTTTTCCGGGAATGTGAACAAACGAAGCATCGTCGTCTCATTTTCTTATCAGTCTCTTCTGAACAGAGTTTTGGAAAATGTCTTTCAGTTAATCTTTCAGAATCAATATCAGAATATCAGAATTTCAGAATCAATATCTGAAATATTTTGCATCATTTCTGCTATTTCATGCTCTGTTAAACATTTTCGACGCTTCGACATTGCAACGGTAAAAACAGAAAGAATTCACGTCTAACAAGATATAATTATTTTCTAAAAACTGAACTGTAAACCGAAATACTCAACGCTTTAGCGCATATAAAACTTCTACTTACAATAAACAACTACCATGTGCGAATAAAGTGCGATTTAAAGGGACGTCATAAATCACGCCATTCGGAAACATTTAGTTCCCCGTTTGTTTATATAATCAAAAACACGTGTATGTGAGTCATGCTTCTCTCATTTCGAGTAGAAGGTCTAATGTACATGTATCTGAAACCATATGGACATACAGTGCCATCTTGTGGCAGAAATTATAGTTTGAAAAACGTTCCAGGACGCTGGAACAAATACGTGACAGTAGGTAGTAAACGGGGAAATGCTCTGTCACACCAGCGTGTCGGCCGGTAGGTGAGTGTGTTCGTTGCTGGCACGTAGACGTGACAGTCGAAGCGAAGGGGTTAAGTGACTCTGCATGAAGTGGTTTGCTGTCTCGTAGCGCAAGTGTTCCTATCTTGACTAGGGAATATGCCTTTTCGTTACAATCAATACCTACATGTGAAAGGATCCATTGAAAAACGATTGTTTTGCTGTGTTTATAAAGAAGTTTAAGGTTTCTCTTATTTCTGAGATAATCTGGATATCTGTATCATGATTTATAACTACAGCCTGGATGGCTGCTTTGGAATTGAATAGAATAACTGCTTTAGAGCAAAAATCGATCTTTATCTTGAGGTTTTCCAGAGCCAATGGGATTGATTGCAAGTATCTCTGCATCAAAATTCGACAAGAAGTGTCCCATAGAAGTACACTGGGAAAAAAGTTTACTGTATACACAAACCCCAGTGTGGCCTTGCATTTTAGAGCCATTAGTCTATTCAGGTTCAGAATATTGTTCATATAACATACATAATGTGTTTGATTTTAATATTGCATCAGGACTGCTTTTCTTTCTCAAGTCATATATATCTAGCTGGTATTTGATATTAGTATATTCAATGGGATTAACCATGACATCGTTACAATTCATTGGTTTGTTTTCATCTATTTCTTGTAATAAGCCTCTAGGGAAGACATTTGGGTCTTCATAGTACTTGGTTTGCATTCGTTCATCCAATGCACTTTATGCGATGCTTTCATTTTAACGAAGGTACCAACTGTTTGTTTCTCGCGTAACTTACAAAGTAAAAAAATTTCATAATCGAATAACATGAAAAGTTAATCATATTTGTCTTCCGTTACATCATTGAATTCTATTTCCTCTTCACCATCATGGTTATTCTGAACCATAAATAAATAATCATCCATTGCATCTGACTGTTAGACAAACTACATTTTAGAAATTACTTTTTAAATTTCATTCCATGCTTTTATTATCCATTTACACACTAATTTCTATGCTAGCATGACACATTTGGCCTCCTTTTGTGAATGTTTTTCACCTTCCAACATCCACTTATTCCACTTTCACGTTAAATGTTTAAAAAAAAGGTTTATTAATACACATATCTAATGGCGTTGATTCGCCTGGAATAACTGTGATGTCAGCAATTTCTTCGTATTATCTGTTAGATCCGTCTGACTTTCTGGATTCCTTAAGGCAGTGCAAATGCGCAGCATGAAAAATAATATTTCATGCTAAAAACGGTCTGTATTCGCAGAACATGAAGTGAAAATAGCCAGAGGATGGCCGTCGAGCTGCTGATTTAAAAATAAGGCAAATGACACTAAATAAGAAGTGCAAATGTGCAGCATGTAAAATAATATTTCATGCTAAAAACAATCTGTATTCGCAGAACATGAAGTGAAAATAGCCAGAGGATGGCCGTCGAGCTGCTGATTTAAAAATAAGGCAAATGACACTAAATAAGAAGTGC